AGCCCTACCCACTCCACCCCCAGGCCAGGCCCCGCGCCTTTCGGGGAAGACGTGCGGAAAGGACCCAGGGAGCTATTAATGATCCAGAGAGCGTTCAGCACGGATGCTTTCGGGCGGAGGGGCGTGCAGGTCAGCACATGGTTTGGATTTGCCTCTCCCCCTCCTTCCAGCTAATTAGGCCAAGCGCAGAGAACGTTCCCTGCGGATGCTGAACATGTGCGCAGCACAAGCATCACCTCCCCTGGGGGGGAACCGGCCCCGGGAGCCCCCTCCCTGGGGCGGGCGAGGCAGCCAGGTAGCCCAGGGAGGAGCGCAGGCATTTGGGGGGGAGCCAAGGTTATAATGAAGGGGTTTGAACTCGTTGTCTGGCCCGGGTTCAAAGAATGCAAGAACAGGAATCACATGCATAAATGCGGGTGGTGGGAAGGGGCTGGAGGGCAGCCAGGAGGATGGAGGTTACTGCAACACACGGCTCCGACTGCCCCGCGCTGCCCGAGCCCCCAGCGGTGCCTGCCTCTGCCCTCTGGCTCTACAGAGCCACAGGAACAGGGGCCCTTCCCTGCTCCCTTTGCCTCCCTCTGCCACCCTGGTACCCCCCTGAACCACCTGGCCAAGGCATCTGGTGTCTGCGGGTCGGCTGAGCTATGGTGGCAACGGGTCATCACTCGATGGCAATCATGTCCCCTGCCTCACCCCAGCCAGGGGAGCACCAAGAAAGCAGAAGAAATGGGGCTGGGGGTCTCCAGGCGCTGCCATTTTAAGGCTGTTCCCTTGCCTCTGTATGGAGCAGCAGCTCAGGGCTTCTCAGTGGTGCTGGGGGGACGTGGTGCCACGGGGACACGGGACAGGAGCCGTGGCTGTGCTGGCCACGGGCGATACCAGTGCAAATGGGGATGTGGGACCATTTAGATGGAGATGAATCTCGTTCCTTGAGGGAAACCCTGGCCCAAGGCTCTTGCCGCAGCACTGCAAAGCCGGGCTTTTGAAATGCTGAGAGCACTGCAGGCTCTGGAGGGATGGGGTTGCCGCACCCCTGCCACTTCGCGGCACCGGGGGCAGCCCTGCCAGCTCAGCTGCCACCCCGACACTCCCCACGCCAGTCCCAGGCCCCACCACACAGCTCAGGGGAGGACAGGGATGCAGCACTTCACCCAAGGATTTCTCCAGCTCCTGGCACGGTCTCAGCGCAGGCGACAGCGCTGAAACCCGGATGCGAGGCTGAAACCGATTCTTGGCAAAATCGCATCCCTGGCTGGGGGTCCCAGCAGTGGGCGGCTCGAGGTGATGCAAGGCAAAGCCGCCCACTGCTGTGGTCCCCAAACCACGTTAATGAAGACCTCAAACCTGCACTGGCAAGTCCAGCAGCCCACAAGGCCAGCTACGAGCACCTCCAGCATCACAGTGTGGCGTCGGAAAGCAACACCGGATTTCCCAATCCAGCTGAAAGCTCCTCGGATGTTCTGCTGCTTTGATTATTTGACAGACCATGTTTTTTAAATTATTCTTGTATAAATATTTACGCATTTTTACAAGAACCATGCTTTGAGCAACAGGCCATGGCAGAGGAAGGGCCAGAGGGGAGGGGGCTGGATGCTGGATTGCTCCATCTCTGCTTTGGAGGTCAGCTCTGGGTTGAGCGTGACCGACGGGGGATGCCGGGGCTGCACCCATGCCCGGGGCCCCAGGCGATGCGTGCTGGGTGCTGACAGCCTGCCTGAATGAAGGGTGGCTGGTTGGTGTGATCCTGCCCCTGCCTCTGGCTTCCCTGGCTTTCCACTCTCTGAAGAGCAGAGCCCAGGCAAGCGCCGGCGCAGCTGGGGGCCAAAATGCCTGCTGTGGGGTGCATGGTGCCTGCCACCGCTGGGAGCCCCGTGCAGCTCCACACGCATCCCCGGCCTCATGCCTGGCCAGGTCCAAAAAATGCCTCCTGTCATCACCCCAAGCTGAGAAAGCCCCTTCATCACCCCACCAGCGGGCAGTAAGGCAGGACATGACTGCCAGATCGATGGAGAGTGGTCCTCCCCCCACTCCCAGCCCAGCACTGCACCCCTCGGCAGGTTGGGGAGGAGGCGGTGGGTGCCGGTAACCCCTGCAGGTCTCCCAGAGAGAGAAGGGGATGGCGTGGGGGGCTCTGGGGGTTGCTGTAGCCCTCGAATCTGCTCCCAAAGCCCCGGGGACAGAGCTGCAGGAACAACAGCTGCAGAAAAGCCCCCTGCTGTCATGGGCACCCTCCCCATCAGCCCCATCCTGCTCCCCAGGACTGCTGCTGTGGTTTTTGGGAAGGATGAGGGGGAGCTCCCCCTCTCCCTCCCCTCCCCCACCTACAGATGGGATCCACAACCCAGCCTCATGTTTTCCGCCGAGCTCAGCAGAAAATCACCCAGAAGGTCAGTGACCAGAGAAAGGGACGATCCATCATTAAATAAATTGTTTTCATTTCCCAGGATAACGGGGAGGAAAAGTGGGGGGGATGTTGGACCAGGACTGAAAAAAAAAGAGAGCACATGGCAGGAAAACCACCCCCAGTGCTCCCTGCTGTTAGCAGCCACGGCTCCTTCCCCACACTCTCGCAGGGCTTTTACAGCCAAAGCTCTTAATGTGATTATAATAATTATTTCTTTCCTAGCTATTTTTTTTTTTTTTTTAATAAAACCCCCTTT